GTTTTTATTTTTTGAAACAGCATAAATCCTTCAGATGGGATTACATTCTCCTTTCCCCAGTATTTCTCTTCAGTTTTGCCCCTGAGTGATAGAATCTTACCCGTGGAATGGGGCCTTAAAAGTTCTAGACAGACGTTCCATTTTATGTTGAGGTCTTTGCCACGAAAAAATAGCCATCCGGCCTATATTACTTAGAACACACTAGATTACAAACAGCAGAAAACTCTAATCCTGTTGTTTTCATCAATGATCATAGACCTGGTTTCAGAAGCCATTTGATTCAAAGCTCAAAAACATCATCAAAGATCATATCAATTTGCTTTCTCCATGCCTGCTTTATTTGAACCTAGCCAGACCTTGTGGTTGTAAAATGGCTGCCCACAGTCCAGGGGCTCCTTAAATTTTTTTTTTTCATACAACATGTTGGTGATATACCTTCAATTTTTGTTGTTATGCCCTCTGATTTTGTGAGTACATGCAAAAAGAGGAGGTTGACGCTGAAGTTCTCTTGAAATATGAAACAAACAAAAACTTCCCTAAAAGTCCACAGCAAATTGCTCCTCTCATTGTCCCAAATTGTGTCATGCCCATTGCCAACCAGTAAACTAGTAACTGTGGTAGGGATGGGATTATGCTGCTTTATTTAGGTTGGAATTATGCTAATTTGCTTATATTGGAACCACATGCTCCAGTATGCAGTCAAGGCCGGGATATGACGGCTAAGAACAGGGGGTGTTAACCTAGATAACTGAGAGTGGATAACGAAGAAGCTACCACAGGATTTGGCACAAGGTCTGGAGCGTGGCCGTTGGCAACGTCATGGAAACCCCTAGCCCCAAGCCACAAATGCCTTCTCTCTCTGGACAGCTTGGGTTGTAATAAAGTATAGCAATTGCATATTTGCAGCTGAATCTACCTCCTTCTTTCCATGCAAATCTGGGCTCCAATGACTCCTTCTTCACGTCGTTGCCCTCAAGCCTTTGGCCGCTTCCTTCAATTTGTTAACGTTGGGTGTGTCTTCTTTCTTCAGTGTTTGTTCTGCCTGGCCCTTACTGCACTCACTGAAACCAAAAGAGTTAAACACTGGCTGCCATTGGAGAAAAATCTTACTTCCATTTCCAAACTGAAAGGAATTGAGGTCTAGTTATTTTGTCTTCTTTTTATTGTTTGGGGCTTCTTCGGGCCAAGTTCAGAACTTGCGCCAAAATAGTGGCTTTGCGATCAAACCTCCTTGGGCCATCTCTGCAAGATGAAGGCACTGGCTTGATCCATTTCCAGCAACTCTTCCCCGCTGTCCAATTCGGTGGCCCCTAACCAGGATTCGCGTGGGAAGAGGTGATTGTAGACTTGAGGGCTTGTGTAGTGGAGTGTTTGGGTACCTGAAGCCCACGCTGCTTTGTGTGGTTTGAGGGAGCTTTTGCCCCTTTTCTGTCATTCTGCTCAGCAACGAATTCGACCAGCGGTACCTACTCCGAGCGCGGACCGAAGTGGCTCAGTCTCCCTTCATCACGCACGAATTTTCCGCGCCGAGCGCTGCGCAGCCGCCAGGGCTGCAACGACCGGGCCAGGCCGAGTGCGGCGTCCGGCGTCCAACGCGGCTTGCTTGGGAACAGGAGCCTCCAGGGCTCTGCGGCCTCGGGCTGGGTGGCCTGGGCAACGGATCCAGATGCGCCCGCAGCTGCGTCTCCTCCGCGCCGCTCTGCCGCCCGAGGCAGAAGCGGGACACACCAGAGGAGGCGCCGCGGTGCCTGTCGCCCTGCTCCCGGGGGCACAGACGAGGCGCCCTCCGCGGGCGGCCCAGCCCTGCTTCGCGGGGTGCCTGCGGGCGTCTCCCGCCCCTCTCCGGCGGCCCCCACTCCGTCCCGCCTCACCCCACCGCGGGCTTTGTCCACCGGCCGCGCGGCGGCCCCTCCCCGTTCCCGCCGGCTCCTCCCCACCCCCTCCGCTGGCCCCACTTCCTCGGCGCAGGCGGCTGGAGCGGGCCGGGGACGAAAGGGTTAACCCGGGGCTCTTCCCGGCGCGGAGGGATCCGGAGCCGAGCCGAGCGCGGTGCTGAGGCCGCCTCAGCGAAAAAAATGTCCGCCTGAGGAGACCCACAAGTTCTATTCGGGGGGACCGCCAGCCCGCCCCGGGAGGAAGGGGCGGCCAGGCCCGAGAGCCGCCTCCCCCGCCCGGATCCGAAAGCTCGCGCGGGGCAAAGTGAGCCGAGCCGCCGGGAGGTACAAGGGGAAGCCCGAGCCCGCTCTCCCGGCCAAAGTGAACTTTAATCGGGGTGGTTGGATGCGGAGACGGGGCGGCAGGTAATTGCGGAGAGACGAGCGGGAGGGGTACGCCGTGGCGGGGCTAGGGGCTGAGGGGCGCCGCCACGTCCCTGCCGGAGCGGAGGCGCCCCCGGCCCGCGCCCCAACTCCTCTCCCCTTTGTACAGAGGCGAGCCTGGGGTTCCCTCCAACTTGGGGAGCGGAGTGGGGACGGAGGCGAGAGTCGCGGACGGCCAGGCCCGCGGGCGGCGCGCTCGGCCTGCGCGCCCCGTTCGGCACTCGGCTCCAGCTCCGGGACGCGCGGGAGAGCAGGCTGCTTCGGCCGCCGCGCCGGGCTCATTGTTCGGCAGGTCCGGGGCTGGCCGGCCGCGGGCAGGGTAGCAAAAGTGGGAGGAGGCCGAGCCAGGGGAGGAGGGCGCCGGGTAAGAGCGAGATTAGTTGTCGGGGTTTGTATTTTCTTTTTAAAAACGTCCCTGGGACGCGCGGGGGTTGCTTTTCGACCCCCGGGGCCCGCTGGGGACGTCCGGGCGGCGGCGGCGGCAGACGCGGGCCTGCGAGCGGCGCGTTCCCTGCAACTTGTCAGTTCTATTGTTGCCGAGCCAGTGAGTCACTTCGCATCTCCCCTCGTCGCCACTCCGCTCACTGGACGCCTAGTCGCCCCTCACCCCGCCCCTCGAGACCCCCGCCCGGCCGGGCGCAGCGCCGAGCACCCGGCGGGCCGCGCGGGG